TATCTGCCTTGGGAAGGGCCCAGCCAGAGCTTTCCAGTGATGGGGGAGAGCTTGGAAGCCTCACAGCATCACAGCACAGCACTTATGTGGCTCTGCTGGTCCCCAGCCCTCTCCTGACCTCTGGCTGGTCTGACCAGTTTTCTTCCCTTCCAAATCCTCAGCCTGGAGAAGAGAAGGCTCCAAGGAGAGCTCAAAGCCCCTTCAGTGCCCAAAGGGGCTCCAAGAGAGCTGGAGAGGGGCTGGGGACCAGGGCTCCAGTGAAGGACACAGGGAATGTCTTCACACGGCCAGAGAGCAGGGTTAGATGGGACACCGGGAAAAAATTCTTCTCTGTGAGGGTGGTGAGGGACTGGAATAGAATTCCCAGAGAAATTGTCACTGCTTCATCCCTGGAAATGTTCAAAGCCAGCTTGGACAGGGTTTGGAGCACCCTGATCTGGTGGGAGGTGTCCCTGCCCACGGCAGGGGTGGAACAGGACGGACTTGGAGCTCCCTTCCAACCCAAACTGTGCTGGGATTCTGTGATTCCAGGGCAGCTGCAGCCTGTGAGTGGCATTGTGTGCTGCTCAGGGCCTTTGTGCAGAAATGAAATCACCACAGCCACCAACCCTTGGAAAACCCTCGTGTGGCTGCTCTGCACATTGAGTGCTGCTCCTCCTCCAGTGCCTCAGCCTGGCTGCATCCCAATCTGCCTTTGCTCCAGGTGAGAGTCTGGCTGGGAGGGTTGTCACCTCTGCTGCCTCTGCTCCTGCTCACTAAAATGTCTTCAGATGACACAGCTGATCTCTGCAATCAGGCAGATTTTTGTGTTACCAAACAGCGCTCAGACCCCGATGAGCAGTGGAGATGTGGTGCTCTCTGAGTTTTAGTGACTCAACTGAAAATAGAGCAGAGGAATCCTCATACACAAATATAAAAGGCCTCATATAAAAATATGAGTTATATAGTAAATATAAAGTTAGTCCTCTGAATGTTGGAAGGGATGGGGGGACAAAGCACTAATAGGAGTTCACAAGAAACTTCCTTGTCATTGTTTAAGGGAGGGCATCTGTGATAATAGCTGTGTGATCTTTACAGGAAACTGCATGTTCTTGAATCTTGAGATCATCTTGTAGTAGAAAAAAAAAAAAAGAGATGCTGATCTCATTCTTCTCACATTCTATTATGAGTAATTTTCAGCTCTCTCTTTTTTTTTTTTCCTTTCTTTAATTGTTTTAAATGAGTACATCCAAAGATATGCTGTAATTCCAGTGATCTCCCCAGCCTCCCCTAGTCAGCAGGAAACCACTAATGTTCCACATCTTCGAATAATTGACCATCAGGTTGTCATCTCTTAGGTAATTTTGTTCTAATTAACCATCTGCCTCCCAGGGAGCATCCAGTGACCACAACCTGCAGCTATTGTGGATTTGATTTCAACATACCAGGGAAAGGAAAAAACTACAGAAGTTGTAGTTAAACATAATGGGAGGAAATGTAGAATCCATTGAAAACAAGATTTTCACACATATTAATATAAGATACCACAGCCATGGGCTCCCTATTGTTGTAAGACAGATTGTGAGGTGAGTTTAGAGCAGGTTAAGTGCAGAAACAAGAAAATCCTGCACAATGATCCCAGTGAAAAGGGAGGTAAATGTTGCCAAACTCAGGTACCACCCAGAGCAGTCACGGCTCAAAGTGGGATCATTCCATGTGGAGTTTCAGAGCATTGTTTCACTCTGCCAAAAATGGTTTTTCCTCACCCACTGACTTGAGAAGAGTCAGTAAAACTCCTCTGAGATGGGACCTCGCTGTCAGGACACGCTGTAATTCTGAAACAGCCCAGAGCAGGACCAGGTCCAGCTGCTGCAGGGCCGTGTGGCTCGGTCCCCTTTTGGGTCTTGAAGGTGACACAGCACCCTGTGCTCACCCAGCAGCATCCCAGCACCAGTGAAAACACCCCAGCACCACCCCAGCACCCTGTGCTCACCCAGCACCATCCCAGCACCAATCCAGCACCAATCCAGCACCACCCCAGCAGATTGTGCATACCCAGCACCATCCCAGCACCAATCCAGCACCAATCCAGCACCACCCCAGCACCCTGTGCTCACCCAGCAGCATCCCAGCACCAATCCAGCAGATTGTGCATACCCAGCACCATCCCAGCACCAATCCAGCACTGGTGAAACAGCCCAGAACCACACCAGCACCACACCAGCATCACCCCAGCACCCTGTGCATACCCAGCACCATCACCCCAGCACCCTGTGCATACCCAGCACCACCACCCCAGCACCCTGTGCATACCCAGCACCACACCAGCATCACCCCAGCACTCTGTGCTCACCCAGCACCATCCCAGCACCATCCCAGCACCAATCCAGCACCACCCCAGCAGATTGTGCATACCCAGCACCATCCCAGCACCAATCCAGTACCACACCAGCATTGGTGAAACAGCCCAGCAGCACCCCAGCATCACCCCAGCACCCCGTGCATACCCAGCACCATCACCCCAGCACCCCGTGCATACCCAGCACCACCACCCCAGCACCCCGTGCATACCCAGCACCACCACCAGCACCACCCCAGCACCCTGTGCATACCCAGCACCACCACCCCAGCACCCTGTGCATTTCCAGCAGCACCCCAGCACCTGTGAAACAGCCCAGCAGCAGCACCCCAGCACCCTGTGCACAGCCAGCATCAGGCTGCACACAACCAGCACCATCGTGGCGCCGCAGCAGTGCCTGTGCAACAGCCCAGCACCTCACTCTGTGCACAGCCAGCACCCAGCAAGCCAGCAGGCAGGACACTTTCAAATGTCTTTTTTTTTTTAACCCTAAAGTGGAAGGCTGGACTAGAAACCCCGTGGCTTTTCTGGAAGTTTATTTTAGATTCAGTGTTGTAGCTAATCGACATCCGGAAGAGCTGAAGCTTCAGGGCTGGGCATGGCTCACCTCAGGCAGGATGGGGCATTTCAACCTGTGCGAGCCCTTGGTTACTCACAGGCATTTACAAACTGCCTGAAAACATTGACTGGCTCTAAACTTTGGTCTTCCATCCACAAGAATGCCAAAATAAGTTTGTCCACTCTTCAAATTATAGGATTGTGTGGTTCTGTGGTTTTCTGTGGTAGAAGCTCTGTGGTTTCTTAAGCTATTTTGTGCACCCCTAACACAGAGTAGCTGTTAGGCTTTGCTTAAATTGAATTTTTGAAGCCAGAACCCCAAGCTCTAGCAATTTCTTTTGCTATATTTAGAAAAAAAACAACTACAACAAAGTCATGTAGCCATCACTATGGTAACTAGCAAAAAATTCATCCCAAACCCCATGTAATTTAGCAGGGAGAAGGCCATCCCCATTGCTAGCATCCAAAACCTACTTGGTGGCATCTACAAACTTGAAAATTCCTGGGTGTCCTCGAAGCAGCTGCTCTCAGCTGGGCCTGTCCCAGGTCCTGCCTGTGCAAGACATGTCCCAAATGCTGTGAGTGAAGCAGAGCTTTGAACTCAGGCACTGCAGCAGCTCCTCTGCCATGGCCCAGGAGTTCTGGCTCATTATGTCACAAAGAAATATCTGGAATATCATTTTGGATACGATCTCCTGTGATATTTAATGTATTAGGTGAATAACTACTGAGCCTGAGGCTTAAACACAAAAGAAAAAACGCACAAAAATATCCTCAGATCCCAACAACCATTTATTAGCAGCCTGTGTGCAATGACAGCATGAGTTTTGTTATCTTAATGATTTATATTATATTGCAAAATAAGGGATAGAGAATGCCTGGATGTCCTTTCTGTGGAAGCAAGGGATAGGCAGAGAGCACAGGGCTTTTTCATTCTGAAAATTGTGATCCAGGATCTTAATGGGAAGTTAAACAGCAGAAATATATTGTGCATGCTGCTGGCAGAGTCCTGTGAGATTCCATCAATTGGGAAGGCTACAGCGATTCTACCAGACGCTGCATCAGCACCAATAAAAGGTTTTAATGGTGGTGATAACATTAAAAAAAAAAAAAACAAACAAAAAAACCAACCAGACAGGAGGGAAAAGGTACTCAGAGTGACTACACTGATAGTCATGCACAGCAGATGGGAGATTCAGCAATTCTGGAGATAAACCTGGCAGCACTTTCAGACAGAATTCCAAGAGGAGAGCTGGGCCTGGGACATATTTAAGTTCAGTCAATAAATGCTGCAACTGTGGTTGAGGTTTAACAGTTGGGCTCAGACCTTGGGCAGCCTTTAGGGTGAAATTTCCACATCTGAACAGAATGGTGATGCTTTTCTTCCCTGCCCAGTGAAGGGGCTCTTAGGCCATGCTGGTTTCAGGGGCGTCCTTTCAGATTAAGCCCAGAGAAGGTGGGTTAGGAAAGAATTTGGCAAAGCACAGGGATGAGAATGCTGGGTATGTCAGACCCAGAAACTCGAGTGGGAGCAACACATGGAGAGCTGGGTGATGGTTTTATGAGAGATGAGAAGCATGACACGATGAGAACTGGGCAGGGATTGTGCCCATCTGTGACACCCAAACCCTCCAAAATGTGAATGTACTAAAAATATTGCAGGGAAATCTGTCTTGGCAAGGTGCTGCTGACCTTGACCAGGTGAGCAGGAGCAGAAGAGCTGGGAGAAGAATGAGTCAAAGTGAGTAAATGGAACAGCCCAGCAGTGAGGGGTGTTCTTCCAGCCAGGCAAAGGTTGTCTCCAGTGATGTCCCCAGCCACTCCCAGTGTAAACTGCCAGGACATCCAGAATTGCTGCACACAGACTGCTTGGGAAGGGCGTGGTGCTGGATTTGAGACTGCTCTGCTCAGCCCAAATCCAGCTGGGACAAGGAAGAAAGGGAAGGACAGGAGGGAAAACAGTGCAGAGGGCATCGGCCAACAGGAAAAATATTTCAGTGCAGAGAACAGAGCTGATCTTCAAAGCAAGATTCACAAATTTAACAGAAAAACCTGTGAAACTGTGGACAAAAAAAGTAAAGAAAGAGTGCTGAAATCTCAGAGCTCCAAAAAGTAACTTTCATTTATTATATTAAACAATAACATTTCTCTTATTATATTAAACAATATAACACATGAGATGGGTTAAAATTAAAATACCTTACAATTTGTTATAACATTTGAAAGATAAATATAACCACAATCATGTACATATTTGGAGATATTAGTCAGATTTAGGTCAACACTGCAGTTTCCACTTTGTGTTTCCACCTTTTCAGATCAGACTGAAGGATGATTTATTAAAAGGGACACCAGAAGAGCACTCTGCACTTGCAACAGCAGAAGGAACCACAGTCACTAGGAGCTTTCCTTTGAAATTTAAAGGGAGAGGCAGAAGTTGGAAAAATGAAAATTCCATTTTATAACAAATTAGCCTTTATTTATAAAACTTTCAAGTAAAAAGAGCAGTATATCAACTGATCAAACAGGTGTGTCAATGAATTATAGTTAACATATTTACTCTAAAAATAAATCTTCTATGATTCCATCATACTCCAAGCAAATTCCTTTCTAAGAAAAGATGGTTGTTGTGAAGTCTACATAGATGCAATATTTAACCAAATACATAACCAAAAACCTGGCTGTTCCACTAGTACAGGAAGATAATTGAATTAGACAATTAACAACAGAGATCAATTCACATCAACAGAGTTCCAGCTCTAAATGAGGATTAAGCAGAAATGAAATTCCTGAGAGGGAGGAAAAAAAAATACAGAAGAAAGGAGAAATCAAACTCTTACACAAGGGAAAGCAACAATTCTACTTGGACCAAAACTCCTTGGGCCACGGTTCTACAGAACAAATATTCTTCTCAATGGAGAAACACTAAAGAAGAAATAGTAACCCCAAAAGGATTATAAGAAGAATTCAAGAAAAAGTGTTCTATCCTTGAGCATAAGACAACAAAATGATTTCTACAATAGTGCCAACAGATTTCACAGAGATGGGAATCAAAAGTAAAGAGGCTTGCACAGACACAGCTTGGAACTTCCTACACTTTGAGAGCACAGTACATGGAACAAGATACAGGAAGGACTCGTGACCCTCACAGGGCAGAGGTTCCACGAAGGAAAAGTTGCCTATATAAAAATATTTCTTACAGCATTATTGTGGAAGTATGACTTTTATGAGCATCTGTTTTCATTGCAGGGTGACTGGGAGGTTTGGGGGTAACTGAGGGAAACCACTGAAGGCAAATGTGAACACTCAGCTCTGTGAGGGGCAATGTAATTCAATATCTGTGGGGTAATTCAATATCTGTGCCCTATGTGCACTGCCTGCATGGGCAGGTTCAATGTGAATAATTGTCTGTCTGTCTGTCTGTCCTGTTTAACTGCTGTGCCACAGTGCTCTGTGCAACCCAGGGCTTTCCACGAGTCCATCCAGTAGTATAAACCCCACATAAAACGTGTGTGCCACCATAAAACCCTGCTAAACTCTGACCACTCAAGGTTCCACAGAGGCTCCTAATTTATCCAAGCAGAAAGAAGAATCACCCCCACTCTTTCCTCTAAACCAAACATGCAATGGATATTTGTTCCTCCTGAAGTAAAAGCTCAGGTGGAAATGGAGGAAGCACAGAACTGGAATCCAGATGACAATTATGTGCAATAATTGCACATAAACCAATCTGACTGGAATGAAGCAAGAAAAACACGTTTTCCACCTTTGCCTGTGACTGTTTGGGGTGTGTGTGGATGGGAACAGCTCCCCACAAATAATTTTTTTCAAAAGGAAAAGAAAGGAAAGAGGGAAGAGGGAAACTATGAGCAAGAATAGAAGAAAACTCACTGCCTCACTGCCCAGAGAAGAAAGATGACGTGCAAGATCAGCAGCTGAGCCTACATTCCAAACAGATACTTTAAAAACTACAAAGAATGTGAAATTACATCCAGTGCAGATAATTACCACTTTCTGCCAGGGTTCTCTCACACCTGGCACAGCTAATGAACACAGTTTTTCATGTCAATGAAAGAAATCTTGATCCAAATTGATTAGAAATAATTTCTCCTCTTTTTTTTTTTTTTTAACCAGGACTTTGAAACTCTCAGAGCCATGAGCTAACCTGATTTTCTGTAAAGATTCAATTCTGTATCCATATGTGGTTATCTGTGTATGTTCACACATACACACAAGCTTTAATATATAGAATATAGATGCATATTCTACATATTCACTGTATATACATATTTTATGTACAGCACAAGGAACTATATACTGGACATAGCATGTGGACATGTATATACACACACTATGATTACATTATACAATACTCTATATATATATATATATATATATGTATATATACACATAGACACAAATAGTATGGATCTCACTGTACACTGTATATGCACTGGGGGTATTCACATTTTCCATATCTTACATTGTATGTATTTTCTCTGCCCAAATAGCAACAGGCCTGTTTGTGCTTTAAATTTCACTGGTCTGGAGGAAGAAGAGCAATGTCTTGCAATAGAGTTTTGCCTCAAAGAGCAAGTGCAGGTATTGTACAAACACTGAGTTACAGCAGAGGGAAAGAATGTGGGGAATCTTCCTTTTTATATGGAAAATTGTATTAAATGCAAAGTGAGAAATCACAGCTAGGTTTTCTTCTACTGCAGTGACAACATTTTGAATCAAGAGTGTTTCAGTAAATTTAAGGTTCCTAAATCTAATACTGTGCATAGACAATATATTGGGTTCTGTCCCTGTTCATTGGTTGATCTGCAGTTACTGTCCAAGCAAATATGAGGAAGAGTCAATAAGGAAATACAAAAATAAGCCCTAACACTATACAGAATGCTGGAATAATTCACATTTCTGTCTCCCTGCTGGACATCTTGAAAGCATCATCTCCTTGGCCTAGAAGCATTATAAAGTCAGTGTTTTAGGGCCCTGACAAAGCAGCAGAAAGTCCTGTTATGGTACAGAACTTCAAAAATGCATCGAGCTCTTCAGTCAATCCACCTGTCCCACTGGAGTGATACCATCCCATCCAGAATTGGTATTAATTTCTGAATTTTATGGTAGCAGAAGAGACACCACAAGAGCTCAGGTGAACCCTGGAGGATCTTACACATGGGTACAGTTTCTATAACTGCACTGAGAATCTTGCAGCCACTTGCTTTTGAAAATTGCTCTTTCACAGCTGAAGTTTTATCGTGTTACCTAAAGACTGACACAAGTTAGCTCTCAGAGATTTCAAGTTCTATACAGCAACAGAAGAATTCTCTGTGTTTTAGTGTGTTTGATCACATAATCAAACATATATTAGAGAAAAATTATTGCAATGGGAAGGGATCTAAAATCGGGATCTTCAAAATTAGAAATAGATGCTGTTGCATCCCAAAGGGCTCCCTAAAGGACAATATTAAAGACCATTATATGGTTGGTTTTGGTATTAGAAATAAATCTTCTTCTGAGGAGAAGAAAAGGTTTACATTATTTGTAGTACCATTAGCACAGGAGACACAGAGCAAGAGGGGAGTTGTGACTCCTGGAAGTAACATCCCAAACACGAAGAGATGAGTGTGTCTGCACACCCACCCATCCACCCACCTCCCCACAAAAGCCTGAGGCTACAAATGCCACGTCCTGGCTGCATTTCAGAGCTCAAAGCTACCAAGATGCTAAAAAAGATCCAGCCTGACTCCTCTGTGTAAGGAAAGCATCCAGGATAAGGCAATCCCAACTGAACAGGGGAAGATTGTTTTCATTCACTGAGCAGGCACTATCAGTGTGGTATGAAAATAAAAGTAAGGAAGCAAGGACATAAACAATAGAAATGCATTGAAGATGATGAAGGAATATCACATTTAAAAAAAAAAAAGAGAAAATGTTGTAAGACAAGGGCCACATCAGTAAGGACACAGAATGTAAAGCTTTTGTATTCCCAGAGAAGGAAGGGCAGGAAAGACTGAGGGCATTTAAAAATGCTGTGCTAGATCCCTACTCTACCAGACAGAAAAGTCCAAGGCAAACACAACAGAAGTTTTAGAATTCCTGTAATCAGAAAAGGCATTTCTAGTAAGCAAATTAAATTCACAGACTCATTTTTTCTATGACATGTCACACACATTCTGTGTTGTGTTTTCCAGGTGGAAGCATTCAGTGCATACAAAACCTGCTCCTACCTGGTCTGAGTCCTGCAAACTGCATTTTAGAGCCAGCCCAGACAGTGCTGCCAGAACTGATGTGTGAATTTGTATTTGGCAACTAAAATCTGATTCAACTTGGCTTCATTTCAGCTAAAGCTGCTTGATCTGTAACCCCAAAGAGGTGGAATTGAAGAAGCAGAGGTAGAGACTGTCCCAGAGGGTCACCTGGCTAACACAACCTACTCTGTGTGCTGGGATTGGAGTAAATGAGGGTACAGTGAGTACAATGAGTGTACCATGAGGGTACAATGAGGGTACAATGAGTGTACAATGAGTGTACCATGAGTGTACAATGAGTGTACAATGAGGGTACCATGAGTGTACAATGAGGGTACAATGAGGGTACCATGAGGGTACAATGAGTGTACAATGAGTGTACAATGAGTGTACCATGAGGGTACAATGAGGGTACAATGAGTGTACAATGAGGGTACAATGAGTGTACAATGAGTGTACAATGAGGGTACCATGAGTGTACAATGAGGGTACAATGAGGGTACAATGAGGGTACAAAGAGTGTACAATGAGTGTACCATGAGGGTACAATGAGGGTACAATGAGTGTACAATGAGTGTACCATGAGGGTACAATGAGGGTACAATGAGTGTACAATGAGGGTACAATGAGTGTACCATGAGTGTACAATGAGGGTACAATGAGGGTACAATGAGGGTACAATGAGGGTACAATGAGGGTACAATGAGTGTACCATGAGGGTACAATGAGGGTACAATGAGTGTACAATGAGTGTACAATGAGGGTACAATCAGTGTACCATGAGTGTACAATGAGTGTACCATGAGGGTACAATGAGTGTACAATGAGGGTACAATGAGGGTACAATGAGTGTACAATGAGTGTACAATGAGTGTACAATGAGGGTACAATGAGGGTACCATGAGGGTACAATGAGTGTACAATGAGGGTACAATGAGGGTACCATGAGTGTACAATGAGTGTACAATGAGTGTACAATGAGGGTACAATGAGGGTACAATGAGTGTACAATGAGTGTACAATGAGGGTACAATGAGGGTACCATGAGGGTACAATGAGTGTACAATCAGTGTACAATGAGTGTACAATGAGTGTACCATGAGTGTACAATGAGGGTACAATGAGGGTACAGTGAGTGCTAGGGGGGAGCACTCCTCACACATGGCAACTTTTCCACCACTTCATTTCCTGATGTCACATTAAAGCAGCACCCAAATGTGTTTCACCACCTTGCAATCCTGTTTGCTTCCACTAAAGCAAATTTTTACTTCATAATTTAACTGCTAAATTATTTATCCCATTTACTGAATTAATTCCCACTTTTAGTCGTTTACAATTATTAAAACTCAATGCAAACAAAAGTTTAAATTAGAAGAACCACTAATTTCTAGAGTCTTCAAATTTGTACTGTTTTACAGAGTTCACTGTATCCATCATATATAAATTGTCAGATTCTTTTGCAAAAGCCACAACTTCTGGATAAAAATACCAATGGATTTATGCTTTGACATAGCTGATGCAGAAGTACTGATTAGCCTACCATGAATTATTAAATAAATGTAACAAGTGAAAGCTAATTCTATAAATATTCTCTTTTTATGACATTTTCTTTTAAATCCATACTGCAGCCTCAAAGACCCCGTGGAATTCAGGTTATAAAAAAAAAAAAACGGATTCACAAGCTGCAGTTTACTCTATGCAACATTTGTGTTTCAGATAAAGAAACTTTCAGTACCTTAGGATTACACATTAAATTTCTTACAAGCAATAAATTTTTTTATCTAGAACATATAATACAGCTTATACAGTGATTCCTGCAGGTTATGCACTTGAGAAGCCACACAGAGCCTGGTCAGAGCCACAACCAGCCAGTCCTGTTTAAATCTGAGGGTGACTTAAATTATGTTCACAAATATAAACCAAGGGTTTAGTATTTTTTATAAAAGCTTTGTTCCAAGGTTTCTCTTGAACAAGGTGGAGGCCAAGACCCTCTTTAAGAGTTTGGCATGTCAGCCTTACTGAGTGCAATGGCCAACTCAAGGTCTTCTTGTTCTTGTCTCCTCAACCGAGCCAGTCTTTCCTGCTCTGCTTTCTCACTCTCTCTCTTCGCCCAGGCCAGCTGCTGCTCCTCATTTCCAAACTAAAAAAATGAAAATGGAAAATGAATTAATAAGGTTACCGACCAGCTTGAAGAAATTGTGCAAAAAAAATACAAAGAATCAGAGTTATGGAATATTCGGCTCAACTACACCAGGCTGTCTCAGGGCAGTTCCAGATTGACACTCACTGGCTTCCTCACTTCATCCTTTATTTCCTTAATTTCTTCCTCCTTCACTTCCTCCTTTGATTTATTTCCTTCATTCCTCCTTCCTTTACTTCCTTAGTTTATTTCCTTAGTTACCTCCTCCTCCTCCCACCTGGGAATCAACCCACATGGGATGCAAGTCCCTGCATCTGTGCCTCAGCTGGGTAAGAAAACTGCCAAAAAAACCCCTCCACAAGCACAAAAAAAAAGGAAGTTAATGGTTTGGAAGCACAGCAACTACAACCATTTTTAAGAAGAAATAGCTGGTAAAGCTAATAGTTATTTATTCTTGTGCAACTGCACAACAGAGAGTTTTATTGTGGGAGTTCCTGCTAAGGGGAGGGGTTTGAGAAGTGATTTTGGACACTGCTGACATGTGGGAAGTTTCACCATCAAATCAAAAGTTACCCAAAGTGCTTCTGCTGCTGTGCATAAAATACACAGAGGTTCCCCAGTAAGAAATAATGTGAGAGAATCCAATTTACCTCAGCAGAGAACACTAAGGAAATATCACATTTAATAACATTCAGCTCCTAAACCTGTTTGGGCTCCCCCAAACACAAGTACAATGCAGCAGAACTTGTCCAAAATGATATTCTAGTATTTACCACTGAAGGATGCAGAAGTTTGCTTGTTTGAACTTTTTGAACAAAACCTGAATTTTTTTTTTTATTGAAATCATAGCAATTTCTAACTCAAATATAATCTGTTCCCAGCTAATTTTAGCATTTGCTGAGGAGGAGGAGGATGGGAACAGCTGCATGCAAATGTTTGCATTAAAATCTGCTTTTTGGTTTTTTGTTTTGGGGATTTTCTTTTTCTGTGTGTGTGCAGGAAAAGATATTATTTGAGGGGTTTTTGAGGAGAAAAATTTCAGCTGGATGAATCCTGCAAGAATTCCCTGTGGCCCAGGGCACAGAGACTCTGAGCCTGCTGCAGCTACACCTGAACTATTGAACTGAGGGTTAAAATGCAAGCTTCAGTGCTGAACCCTGCCCAGCTGCACAAACCCTGGATAATCCCACCCCAGCCTCCTCCTCCTCTCTGCAGTGTCTCTGGAATTTCTATTTTTTATGTATTTTGACATAAATCCGCCTATTTGAATTTCTTTTCACCCAAACCCAATTCTCATTTACTCATCATTTAATCATGCCTCTGGATGCCCATCATTCTTCATTTTTTTTTTCTGCCATTGTGACTTTAGAGATGATTTGATGCAAAAAACCCCACTTTTCTTCATGCAATATCTCTGCTTTGATTGCTATGAAAATTTAGATGAGAATCTTTGCATTTGATGTCACTGAAATACAGCAGAAGTGTAACACCTTTTGAGATTTTACTTTTAAAATTCAGAGATCCTACTACACTCCTTATTTAAATAATGTCAGCTGATAGGTAGGATTAAAAAGCTCATTAAGATTTTAAATAATTTTTTTTTTTCAAGGTAAAGACAGACACAAATGGAAGCAGGAATTCTCTGCTTAGTCCAGGAATTGAGGCAGATCCAACAGCTGGGATGGAAAATGAATATTTTCCAACTATTTTCAGAAATATAAGACACTTTGGTCAAACTATTTGGGATATTTTTTTTTTTTTAATGTTGAGAAACCAGTTTTACTTCTATGGCTTCCATTCTAGGATAAGGCTTCCAAAGTTGATGAGAGTCCCAATTATAACTTGTTTATTGGACACAAGTTATATTTTTGCAGTTAAAAGTGCTGAGTGGAAAAAGAAAAAGGAAAAAATAGGCAAGTGATTCATTGGAAACAAATCTGGATGTGCCTTATTGCAAGTGGTTGGCACAAATTACAATTTTCAGGAGGTAACTCTCACCATTGAGTAGTGAAATAAATACAGAACAGTTCATTAATGCTACAGATTGTCTATAAAAAGGTAATTTACAGCTAATTTAATACAATAACAATTTTTTTGCCTATGTCCAGGTTTCAAAAAGTCTATAAATATGTGTCACATGTGTAATTACATTAAATCCTTCCTTTCCTTTTCTTTTTCAGAGGTACAGTGTAGATGAAACCAGCAGACTGCAGCAAGGCAAATCATACAAACTCCACTGATTTGTGTGTGCTGAATTTCCAGCTTGCACTGAGACAAAAAGCTCAGTGCTGAGTCTTCTGTTTCTTGGCAAAAAAAAAAAAATAAATTGGTTTTTCTTGTTCTGTAAACTGCAGCTGGAACCCAGAAATACCTGCAATCTGAGCTACCAAAAGAGTGTTTTGTTCCAATGAATCATATTTAATGACAGCAACAAAGTTAAGGATGCAATGAAAATATACACAAACTCTGGGTGGGTGAATTTGCCAGTGTGTGAAAAAAGCAGCAGATTTTCCTACTAAAATATCATGAAGGTTCTCATGTTCTTTCTTGGAACAGTCAAGGATTTCCATTAAAAATCAGGTTGTTTGATTATTCAGTTCTACATGATTCTGTTCTTAAGATTCCATGGATTCAAAGTAGATGTCAAAAACCTTCTGTAAGTAAAACTGATTTTCATTTCCACTATGAACAAAGTTTCCCAACCATGAGGCAAAGAGAAGCACAATATTCTCAATCATTTCAAGGTAACTGGCACGTTTAAAATACTGTACAGAAGGATCAGAAATTGTCAAGTGTAGTAGCATAATTGTGTCATAGAAAAGGAAAAAAAAGGAAAAAAATCCATGAACTGAGGCAAAAAGGGATCAAAATTTGCCTTTTCAGCCAAATTCAGTCAACATTTCTTTTTTTTTTTTTTTTTCCTACAGGAGGAGAAATCAATTCAGAAAAACTGATTTAAAAATTTATTTCATTTGATGAAATGGCACTTAACAGGAATTATTAAGTGGCCACTGCTCATCTCATTTTTCCTACTTGTTCCTTATCTTCTAAAGATAATCTGAGCTGAGAAGGTGATGGCACAGCAAATCTGACCCTGGAGCACCCACTAGGATTGGGATCAGAGGTTTTAGTTAATCATTTGATACAATCACTCAGAGGAAACCACGTTTTAACTTAAGAAATAAGAGTCTGGAAAGTAAGATGACAACTGGGTCAGAGTCATTCCATTCCATCATTTGTCTTTGATTGCAGGAAGAAATTAGATGTTGTTGAAGAAACTTCAGATAAAGCAGGTTTTGTGTCTTATTTTTATTAAGAATGTCACCAGTTTGTATACAATCAGAATTTAACTGTGCAAATCCAACTATCTGTGGTCAAACATACAACAAATCTTGAACTTGGACGTTTCAAAAGTGATAAATTAAAGCCCTGAGGCCAACTAAAGTCTGCACAGATGACCTCAGCTAACAATATCAAATAGGAAAGTGATACACATTTAACATTAAATAATAACTAGGAAAAAAAAAACAAAAACCAAAACATTAAAAAGAAACAACCTGAAAAGATTCAGCTTCAATATCTCCCCTTGCTGAACACTGTCCCGTGTCCAGCAGAGCTAAGGAACAGAGTCAGTTCAATTTTAAGTTCAATTTTACTGCGTGGCAACATGAGAAAACAAAAACATGTGAAAGGAGGAAGAAGCCTGAGGCTGTGGATGGAACAGATTCCATCCACTCATGGAAGCAAGGAGAACCACACCACCACTGCATTTCCAGTGGTGCCCAACTGCAGCACGAAAAGCAAAGCCAGGCTTTGGAAAGCCCAGGATTTTTAACAGAATGGGGACCTGGCTTTGCTTTCAAACCTTCTGGGATGGTCTTCTGGAGTGCAGCGTGGACCTTCCTACCTTGGTTCTGCAAAACCATTTTGTTTTCTCTGTCTTTTCTACAACATCAGTAACAGGAACAAAATTCAACAGCTAAATTTTCCATTTCTGTCTCAATTTCTGCGTCTCTCTATGAGCACATTCCATCATATACAGCAAATGTCAGAATTTTCTCCACAAACAGTTACAAGGACTTATTAGAAACTTTCTCTTCAAGGATTTGCTTCTCAGGATATGGTGAAATTGCTAGAGAAATGTTCAATATCAATTGGTTTTTGAGTCTTTACATCATTGGCTCCCAAAAATCCATTTACAAAATAGCCTCCATGCAACAAAAACAATACACAGATTCTGCTACAAAGAATTTGAGAGTAAAGGCACACTGTACTAAAATAATTTAAATGCAAGTAAACCCTTGAAAATTTAGTAGGAAACTTCTTTTTTTTTTATTGAAATAACGCCTTTTTATTACAGAAATATTAATACAAAAACAATGAGGACAGCATGAAGGTACTGAGAGACAGAAGCCAGGGAACAGTAGGTTTTGCAGGTAAGACAAAAACCCAACAGAGATTGCTGCAAGCAGAGCAGAAAGTGGTTTGCTCAGAGACAAGGAACTTAACTTACAGAGCTGAAGTCTGCAAACCCCAAGGAAGAGTCTTTAGAAGTTTTACTTGAAGAGGAGGGAGCAAATGGATCTTTTCCACTAAATGGGTCCCCAAACCCCTTTTTACTTTGAAACAGGTCACTGCTGTCAGCCCCAAATGGCTGGAATGGATCATGGGGCTTGGGAAAATCTGCAGACCCAAGGTGGCTTACAGGAGTACTTTTACCTGGAAAGTTTAGGAAAACAAAAAACAAAAAAACAAAAGGAGAAAAAGAGAAGTTACTTACCATGGACAATGCAAAGCCCTGAAATAGGAAACTGCACTGATACACTTAAGCATCATCCGTCCTTCCTGGGGTGGGTGAAAATTTAACCCAATATAATGGTATTCATTTCTCAGTGCAAATCATCTAGAACAGTTGTTTTATTTAAGTGGATTTAGCTATTTATACATACCAAAATATGTAATACCATCAAGATTTTAAATGATGAAACCCATTATAAAGACATTTGGTCCGAAAAAAATTGACAAGTATGACTTTGATTTTCCAGGATTAGAGATATTTTGAGTTTAAGCTTGATTTTATATAGAAGACAAAATAAAAAAAACATGTATCACTAAAGATAAGTAAGGTTAAATAGGATTAAAGAGTAACTTAGCTGTCACTTTACAGAATGCCTGCATTCTGCCTTTTTTCCTGGAATTGGTTCATCCTTCTACCACCATGTACACAAAGAAAAAGAGGCCAATTCACCTCTCTCTGGGGTGTCTGCTCCACAACCCACCTTTTGTAGGTGACTGTTGTTATATTCCACCCCAACAACAAATGACATCACAGGAATTATTGTGCATGCTCATAAATATGATGTGTATACTTAATTTTCTTGCAATTAAAGCATCAAGGGTTGATTTTTAATTCCCCTTGCCAAAAGACTATTTTATGAGGTCAGATAAACAGATAATTAGATTTCTCCCCCTCCTGCCCCACCTAAAAAATAAAAGATTGCTCCTGAGAAGTATTTGTCCAGCTTCCAGGGAAAATATTCCTTGGGTGAACATTCTTGATTGCAATATGTACTTGATAAAGGAAAATCTAGAAACATTCTTAAAATAAACCAATACTTACAACTTCTCTGGCATAATAACCTGAATTTCATACATTATTTGTAGCAAGAGAGTTGCTTTGAAATATCCAATTATTTGAACTATAATTTAATAGGAATCTTATCATTCATTCCCATTATGATATACATACTGGGAAAGCACAGAGAAATGGATCAAACCCTAAATTTCAGAGTGTTCTTGGCACATTTAAGTCATAGCCTGGGAGCTTTTCAGAAAGTACATTGGTACGTGCTCATGAACTTCAGAATATATGCTATATATGAATATATGCTCAGATGTGTGGAAATACTTTTCTCAAAGGGAAATAAAGATCAGCAAACTTGCACTGAATAAATGACCTATCCAGCAACTTCCAGTAAATCCCAGCTCAGCCTCTCCTGCCCCAGGACCAGCCAAAAGCCAGAAGCCAAAAGCCAAAAGCCAAAATCCATCCTCCCTTGTACTCAGCTGGCCTCTGTTTGCCAAAGCCAGAGGCACCTGTGGTAAGGGAGCTGAGGGAATTGGGAATCCAGGGAGCTGAGGGAATCAGGTTTACATGGAACTGAGGGAATTGGGCTTACATGGAGCTGAGGGAATTGGGAATCCAGGGAGCTGAGGGCATTGGGAGTCCAGGGAGCTGAGGGAATCAGGTTTACATGGAACTAAGGGAATTGAGTATCCAGGGAGCTGAGGGAATTGGGAATCCAGGGAGCTGAGGGAATTGGGAGTCCAGGGAGCTGAGGGAATCAGGTTTACATGGAACTGAGAAAATCAGGTTTACATGAAACTGAGGAAATCAGGTTTACATGAAGCTGAGGGATTGGGTATCCCAGAACTGAGGGAATCAGGTTTACATGGAGCTGAGGGAATCAGGTTTACATGGAGCTGAGAGAATTTGATATCCAGGGAGCTGAGGGAATCAGGCTTACAGGGAGCTGAAGGAATTGGGTATCCCAGGAACTGAGGGAATCAGGTTTACATGGAGCTGAGGGAATCAGGCTTACATGAAACAGAGAATTTGGTATCCAGGGAGCTGAGGGAATCAGGTTTACATGGAACTGAAGGAATTGAGTATCCAGGGAGCTGAGGGAATCGGGTTTACATGAAACTGAGGGAATCATGTTTACATGAAGCTGAGGGATTGGGTATCCCAGAACTGAGGGAATCAGGTTTACATGGAGCTGAAGGAATTGGGTATCCCAGGAACTGAGGGAATCAGGTTTACATGGAACTGAGGAAATCAGGTTTACATGGAGCTGAGGAAATCAGGCTTACATGGAGCAGAGGGAATCACACAGACTCTCATTAGTGCAGTGCCAACATCAGACTGAGGTGCACTACTGGCACCACTGGCAGGCATTGAGCTGCATGCAAAGTGGGAAGCAAGCAAGTCCCCAGCTGAACAAGCAGACAGAGAGATGGAAAACAAGGCAGGTGCAGTAGGAGATAGAACTGGATTTGTTTAATCCTGGCAGTGTTTGAGGGGAACTTGGTCATAGTCCTGCAAGTCTTCCATCAGGAAAAAGGTGAATGGATTTAGGCTGGACCGAAAGAGATACACATCAGAAAATCCACAACATCTTTAGAACTTAAGGATACTCCAGACTGCCCAGGGAACTTAGAACATTCCTAGAACATCCTGAGTTGGAAGAGACCCTCAGGGATCATCCAGTCCAACCCCTGGCCCTGCACAGCCACCACAACAATCCCACTCTGTGCCTCAGAGTGTTGTCCAAATGCTCCTTGAGCCCTGGCAGCCCTGGGGCCATGGCTATTGCTCTGGGAGACATTCTATCAACACATCTGTGAAGTTTGAGAAAGTTTCTAGAAACAGCACTGGTTCAGCTGCCTTGAAGCTGGAAGGTAAAGGAGATCTGTTAAAGCTTGGCCCAGCACTATTTTCCAAGGTTCAGTACATGGATCACATCTGACACATGGATCTACAGATCCCCACGGCAGCCATGACCCGTGTGGCTCCTAAAGAGAGGCAGATCAGGCCAGTGGAAGGAAGTGACAGACTGTACATGAAATAATTCTCCTCACAAACACAGACACTCCTTCACCCCACCTGCCCTTCCACAGGGCACCTTTTGCTCTCTGGAACGACGTGTTCCATCCTGCCCATCCTGGTGGCCTCCAGATCTCACCACTGCCACAGCCATCCCATGCCAGGGGACAGGCAAGCCTGGCAAGGGATGAGCAACTCAGCATTTTGTGTGTAATGCTCCACAGAGAAGAGCAACTTATTTAAACTTGTTTCAAATTTGAGTCATAGAATTCCAGAATGGTTTGGGTTGGAAGGTACCTTAAAGCTCATCCAGTTTTAACCCCCTGCCATGGGCAGGGACATCTCCTACCAGACTGGGTTGCTCCAAGCTCCATCCAAACTGGTCTTGGAGAATTACAAAGAGAATTAAAGTATCTGCATCTCCAACTTTTGGTCAAGGCAAAACAAGAGCCTTCTAGGTTATTTCCCCTTCCTCTATTGCCAGTTACCAGCAAGTAAATTCCCCCTCATACCTCACCCTGTATTGCCCAAAACCAATTTGGATCGATGGAGGTAAAACTGACCCATTTTAAGCTGCTTTTTTTCTTAGGTTAAATCTTCTGCTAGTGAAACCACTTTGTGGAATAGGTGACTGTTAACACAAATGCTGGGTTTGCAACGTATTTGTTCAGCAAGACTGGTTTTTCTGGGTGGCCTGTTTAAGGTTTTTGCACAAAGCTTTGGGTGGTTTTGAACCTGCACAGAGCATTAGGGTTTCTCGTGCTTCATCTTCACAAAAGATCACAAAGAATCACTTTGTTGTAGAGGAAATGTCACCATATAATGAGAGTTACTGCTAATGATATTGAAGGCTTTCATTTTACACACTGAGTGCCATTTTCTTCAGATTTTTAGATGTTAAAGAATAGAATAGGGTGGTAATTTTTGTATTTTGAAAAAAAAAAAAAAAGTGAGAGGGAAACCCTTATGCAATCAGGTTTATTTTTGCAGAGCAATTTTTAGAGCAGCATCTACTCTGAATACATCAACCACAAGGCTGATGATCCATGATGACCATCAAGTCCAACTCCAAGTCCAAATCTCTCCTTTACTGCCTTTTCTATGTTGTTCACAGCTCACATTATCCTGCCACACTCTGCAAACATGGTTTTAAGGCCTGGCAGAAGTTTGTTTGGTTCAGTTAGATGTTCAAATTTACTCGTTTATTAGCCACAAATTAGTAAGAACAACACCAGCGTTATCTTTCTGATGTCTTTGCTGACTTACAGCAAGTGTAAGTCTCCCATCTTAACTACACAAAGAATTTTATAGTTTAGTGTGTCAAGAATGTGGGTATGGGCTTTCCACAACATAAAACAAAAGTACTCAAAGCACAGTTTGAGTTACCACCTCTACTGATGGACATTGGTAACGTTGCAATACTGCAAGATACAGTCATAACCTAGACTGCATTAATCTTCCATTTGCTGGAAAATGTTGCATTTGTACATGACTCTGCTCATGGTTCTGAGGTACGGCAGGCAAACAGTTGTAACCCTTATATGATTTTTTTGCTAATAGTTTCAGGGGAAAAAAAGTTCAGAAAAAAGCAAAACAGGTCCTATTCTGAAACCACAGCAGTTTCAGCAGTTACCCAAGTGGTGCACACAAACCACACCGAGGACTCACTTCAGCAAAAAGAGATGATGAACAAAATGGTTTACCACAGCAAGTGCTGTTACTTAGAGTGAACTCCACCCATACAAAGGGCTTATCTAATTTCATACCCCACAGCAAACTTGAGTTTGGAGGGCTGAGATCTATATTTCAAAGCAAATATAACCTCACTTGTAGGATGCAAACACAAAATTTGTCTTATTGAATTACAAGGTATTGAGAACGAAGTGAAATATTTAGAACTCTCTCAATATTCTATGTTTCAATGCTGGGCCTGACTTTCTGCTTAGAAGAGGATCTTGCTGAATGATGAGAAGCAGCATTTTTCCTGGCTTTGAAGCCTAGATGGATCAAGCTCATGGGCAAACAGGAGAGAGTGGAAATGACACAACTTTAACCTTTCACTAAACAAGGGCTCATTTCCAGGATACTTTCTAAACTGAAAAATAGCCCTTAA